CCTTCGGCTGGATTCTGCTTTCCGCCGCTCACTTCTCCGCCGCCAACGACGCGAGACCCCACAGGAAGGAAGTAGTAGCAGTAGTACCACTGGTGCACCACCACCACCACCACCACCAACCAGCCCTGATTCTGACACGGGTCACCTTTAACATCTTCACATCGCAACATCTCTTTGTTGTGCTCCATCTGCATCAACCAGGAGAACCACTGTCGATGCAACAAGGGACATAGCATCATCCGACAAACAACCCGCCCTCTTTCATTTTGTCCGCCGTTCTGTCGCTTGATCCACGATATCGCGCGCAATCGCCCACCATGGCGCCCCTCGTGGACAACCCCCAGATCAAGGTGGCCGAGCTGTGGAAGCCTTTACCGACATACTTCCACGCCTACGTCTGGCCCTTTGCCATCATCTGGCCCATCTTCCTCCGCTACTACCTTACCGCCGAGCTCTACGAGAAGCACATCGCATCCGAGGAATGGACCTTTGTGTGGATCGGCTCCATCGTCACCCTTCAGTCCCTCGCCTGGCTGAGCACTCACTGGAGTGTCAACCTCCAAGCTACCTTTACTGCCACCCGCGCCAAGTCAATTGACGAGGCCGAGCTCGTCAAGATCATTCCTGTCGCCAACGCCGGCTCTGCCGAAATCTGTAAAATCATCCGCGACAAGGTAAGCCAAGCCCCCCTTGCGAACAAGCGAGCCATCCTGCTCCTCCTCCTTCTTTTCTGCTCTCCGCAGTCTGACTGACCTTTGCTCTTTCACTCGTGCAGGTTGGCGGCAAGATCAACACCACCTTCTTGTTCCAGAAGCGCCGCTTCATCTACTTCCCCGAGGACAAGTCCTTCCGAACCCTCGCCTACGATATCGATGCCGAGCCAAAGCCCAAGATCGGACGCTACCAGCAGTCCAAGGGCATCACCACCGAAGCCGAGCTGAAGAGAATCGAAGAGCACTATGGCGCCAACGCCTTCGACATCCCCGTTCCTACCTTTACCGAGCTCTTCAAGGAGCACGCCGTCGCACCCTTCTTCGTCTTCCAGATCTTCTGTGTTGGCCTGTGGATGCTCGACGAGTACTGGTACTATTCGCTCTTCACCCTCTTCATGCTTGTCGCTTTCGAGAGCACCGTCGTTTGGCAGCGCCAGCGTACACTCAACGAGTTCCGTGGCATGAGCATTAAGCCTTATGATGTCTACGTATACCGCTTGGGCAAATGGACTGAAGTCCTGAGCGACAAGCTTCTGCCTGGCGATCTCGTCTCCGTAGGTCGCACCAAAGAAGATAGTGGTGTCGCCTGCGATATGCTGCTTGTCGAAGGAACCGCCATTGTCAACGAGGCCATGCTTTCTGGTGAGAGTACCCCTCTCCTGAAGGACTCCGTACAGCTTCGCCCCAGCGACGCCCCCATCGAGCCCGAAGGCCTTGACAAGAACGCTTTCTTGTGGGGTGGTACCAAGGTTTTGCAAATCACCCACGGCAACCCCGATGAAGAGAAGCCCAAGCTGGCATCCGGCGTCCCTCCTCCTCCTGACAATGGCGCCATGGCTATCGTCCAAAAGACCGGCTTCGAAACCTCCCAGGGCAGCCTTGTCCGCACCATGATCTACTCCACCGAGCGTGTTTCCGCCAACAACGTTGAGGCTCTGCTCTTCATCTTGTTCCTCCTCATTTTCGCCATCGCCGCTTCCTGGTACGTCTGGGACGAGGGTGTCAAGAAGGACCGCAAGCGCTCCAAGCTTCTGCTTGACTGCGTCTTGATCGTCACCAGCGTCGTTCCTCCCGAACTGCCCATGGAACTCAGTCTTGCCGTGAACACCAGTTTGGCAGCGCTGGCCAAGCTTGCCATCTTCTGCACCGAGCCCTTCCGTATTCCTTACGCTGGCCGCATTGACATCGCCTGCTTCGACAAGACTGGTACCCTCACCGGCGAGGACTTGGTTGTTGAAGGTATTGCTGGCCTAGGACTCGGTCAGGAGGGCACCAGCACCCCTCGCGAGGCCGACGGTGCGCACTCAACCATGACCCCCGTCAACGAAATCCGCCTGGATACCACTTTGGTTCTCGCTACTGCCCATGCACTTGTCAAGCTTGACGAGGGTGAAGTCGTTGGCGACCCAATGGAGAAGGCTACTTTGACTTCTCTCGGCTGGACTCTTGGTAGAAACGACACCCTCGCCAGCAAGCCCACCACAGCTGCTACCACTGGCGTCAGCGGAACTGTTCAGATCAAGCGCCGCTTTCAATTCTCCTCCGCCCTCAAGAGACAGAGTACTGTTGCCACTGTCAACGGTGCTGACAAGGCTGGCAACCGGATCCGTGGCACTTTTGTCGCTGTCAAGGGCGCTCCTGAGACCATCATGAAGAGACTCTCCATTATCCCTGCCGACTACGAAGAGACCTACAAGTACTTTACCCGACGCGGTTCCCGTGTTCTTGCACTCGCCTACAAGCAGCTCACTGTTGATAACGAGCTCGGAGGTAGCAAGATCAACGACCTTAAGCGCGACAACGTCGAGTCTGGACTCACTTTTGCCGGTTTCCTGGTCCTCTCCTGCCCTCTCAAGGATGACGCGAAGCAAGCTGTCCAGATGCTCAACGAGAGCAGCCACCGTGTCGTCATGATCACCGGTGACAACCCCCTTACCGCTGTCTACGTTGCCCGCGACGTTGAGATTGTTGACCGTGAGGTTCTGATTCTTGACGCCCCCGAGGACAACGAGGGCGGCGACAAGCTTGTCTGGCGCAGTGTTGATGAGAAGACTATCATCCCTGCCGACCCCTCTAAGCCTCTTGACCCCAAGATTCTTGAGAACAACGATCTCTGTGTTACCGGTTACGCTCTGGCCAAGTTCAAGGACCAAGTCGGCTGGCGCCAGATCCTCCGTCACGCCTGGGTTTACGCGCGTGTGTCGCCCAAGCAGAAGGAGGACATTCTCGTTGGTCTCCGAGACATGGGTTACTATACGTTAATGGCTGGTGACGGAACCAACGACGTCGGTGCCCTCAAGCAAGCCCACATTGGTATCGCTCTCCTCAACGGCACTATGGACGACTTGACTCGCATCGCCGAGCACTCCCGGAACACTAAGATGAAGGAGATTTACCAGAAGCAAGTTGACCTCATGAAGAGGTTCAACCAACCCGCACCCCCCGTTCCCGTCATGATCGCCCATCTGTACCCTCCTGGCACTAGCAACCCCCACTTCACCAAGGCTGTCGAGCGCGAGGCCCAGAAGAAGAATATCACCCCCGAGGAATGGCTCAAGGTTAACGGCGTCAGCGCCATCGAGACCGTCACTTCCCCTGGTGCTAAGCAACTTCTTAACAACAACGATCCTAACGCTGCTCGTCAGGCCAAGGCTGCCGCCAACGCCGCTAGCTTTGCCGACAAGATGACATCCAGCCTGATGGAGACCGAGATGGGTGATGATGAGCCTCCTACGCTGAAGCTTGGTGATGCCTCTGTCGCGGCTCCTTTCACCAGCAAGCTGCGCAACGTTATTGCCGTTCCCAACATCATTCGCCAGGGCCGCTGCACACTCGTCGCGACCATCCAGACATACAAAATTCTCGCTCTCAACTGCCTCATTAGCGCTTACAGTTTGAGTGTATTGTACCTCGAGGGTATCAAGTTCGGTGACGGACAGTACACCATCAGCGGTATTCTGATGAGCGTGTGCTTCTTGTCCATCTCTCGTGCTCGCGTTGTCGAGGGTCTCTCCAAGGAGCGACCCCAGCCCAACATTTTCAACTTTTACATCATTGGTTCGATTCTTGGACAATTCGCCGTCCACGTTGTCACTCTCATCTACATTGCCCGATTCTGTGACAGACTGGAGCCGTAAGTTTATCCTAGATACTACGTCTGCGAAGCAAACACTGACAGTGCAACAGCCGCTCCGGTGACGTTGATCTCGAGGCCGAGTTCGCGCCCAGTCTCCTCAACAGCGCCGTCTACCTGCTTCAGCTCATCCAGCAGATTAGCACGTTCGCCATCAACTATCAGGGACGTCCTTTCCGTGAGGGTCTTCGCGAGAACAAGGGCATGTTCTACGGTATTGTCGGTGTTTCTGCCCTGGCCTTCTCCTGCTCCATGGAGTTCATCCCCGAGATCAATGAGCAGATGAAGCTGGTCCCCTTCAGCGATGAGTTCAAGATGACCATGACGGGCATCATGGTTATCGACTACGCTGCCTGCTGGGTCATTGAGGTTGTTCTCAAGAACCTCTTTTCTGACTTCCGCCCCCGCGACATTGCTGCTCGCAGACCCGAGCAGCTGGAGCGTGAGCGCGTCCGCAAGGCGGCAGAGCAGAAGATCAAGGACGAAGAGGAGGAGAAGAAGGCGCAGGAGAAGGTGGCCGAGTTTGAGCGCAAGGTGGAGGAGCGCCGCCAACAGCTCGAGGCATGGAGAACGGGCCGACAGAGGCAGTAGATGGATGTGTCGGGTTTAGACTAATTGTGTAACCAAAACAAGTTAGAGACGCAAAATGCGTGTGGAGAGATGTATGATAGAGAATGAGCATCATGATATGTGCATACAATACTTTGTCGTGGTCTGAGTTTTGGAGAAGCTGTGTCTTGAAACTGCCTTTGTCAGGCGCTATTCGCAGGTAGGTAGATCTTAATGACCATCTACGAAGCGCTCATGCATGCACGTCTTTCAACAGGAAATAGTCGGTGTAACGTGGGGGATGTTGGATCACGGCATTTTAAGGAATAAAGTTTGAAGTCAAGCGTGTTTGAAATTTTATGGTACAGAGGCAGACGCAAAGTCGATGCCACGAGTAGGTAAAGCACGACTTTTGGTGTGCGCTTCTGTGTCTACCCGTCATCCTTTTCTTTCTTTGCCAGTCGGATTAGACTGGGAAAAAAAAAGTAGTGGAGGATGTGATTTTGTTTTGTTTTCAACTCTGCTCAACCTGTTTGTGTAGGTTTCCATCTACTACAACACGTCCCCTAGTTTACATGAAAAGTGACACACGTCAAGTGTTGCACTTATTTGGGGGGGTTGGAGGCGACAAAGGCAACACCCTTGGCAATGTTCTTCTTGAGGTCGGCGAAGCAGGCCTCGAGGAGCTTCTCCTCGGCGGCGTCAACCTTGCCGAGGGGAAGGATCTTCTCGACACCGTTGGGGCCGAGCTCGACCTTTGAGGAGAAGAAGTCGATGCCCTGGTCCTTGTAGAGGGGGGAGTCGACAAAGGTGGGCTCGACGATGCCCTTCTCGCCGTGGGAGGCGCGGAGGAGGGACTCGGCCATGCGGGCACCGGCGAAAGCCATGGAGAGGGTGGCGGAGCCGGCGCCGTCCTTGGCCTTGACGACCTCGTCACCGCCGAACTGGACGCGGTTGACGAGCTCGGCGTTGGAGGAGAGGTCGGGGTGGTTGGACTGGGAGAAGAGGGGGACGATGGTGACGCCCGAGTGGCCGCCGACGACGGTGATGTTCTCGTCCTTGGGGTCGGTGGACTTGATCTCGGAGACGAAGCGGGAGGCGCGGACGACGTCGAGGGTGGTGACGCCGAAGAGGCGCTTGGGGTTGTAGACGCCGTGGGCCTTGAAGACCTCGGAGACGATGGGGACGGTGGAGTTGACGGGGTTGGAGATGACGAGGATGTTTGCGTCGGGGCAGGACTCGGCGCAGGCCTTGGCGAGGTCGCGGACGATGGAGGCGTTTGTGTTGAAGAGGTCGTCGCGGGTCATGCCGGGCTTGCGGGGGACGCCGGCGGGGATGAGGACGACCTCGGCGCCCTTGAGGGCGCTGGCGAGGCCGGTGGCGGTGGGGTCGTAGCCCTTGACGACGGACTTTGTGTTGACGTGGGAGATGTCGGCGGCGACACCTGGACAGGGGTCAATTGGGTGTTGCTGGAGAGGAAGATGGAGATGGACTTACCAGGGCCTCCGCGGATATCGTAGAGGGCGAGCTCAGTGACTCTGGGGTTGAGCTTCATGAGCAGGGAGAGGGGCTGGCCAATACCACCGGCGGCACCGAGGACGGTGACCTTGGAGAGCTATAGGCATGTTGTCAGCTGAATGGTCGTTTGGCTGTTTCCATTGTATGTGATGATGCATTTGTGTTTATTAACGTTGGATCATGACGAAGCTTCATAGCTTGTGTCTCCCTTCCGTTCCGTGCCCCGAGGTCGGCTTTTCGGAGCTATGGAGAAGAGAGAGAGAGAGAGAGAGAGCTCTGCTTTGATGCGCAGCCAGATAGGAATTGGGAGCTAAAGGATGACTTACGCTTCTCGCCGAGGCGGAGAACATGCGGCGCTGGACGAAAGACATGATTGCGACGAGGGGGGGGGGATGTGTAGTAGGTAGATGGTGCACAGTTGAGATGGATGAGGGAAGAAAAAAAGAGCAGAGGTTTAAAAATTTATGAGGCGCGCGAAATAAGTTGGCACACACCTCTCACACAGCAACAGCGCAGCAGCGGAGGACAACAGGACACTCAACAGAGAGCACACACGCACCACACGGGAGCCACAGACAGTGGATTGACGGGGGCCCGGGAATGGCAGGATGCGGCCCTGCGAGTGGGTGGCCATTAGCACTACTCTCAGAAAGGGCCCACCATCCACTGTTTTCCCCCCCGTCATTCCCGGCCTTTCTTTCCACACCTTGTCAGCACCTCAGGTTCCATTTCTCGGCTTCGCTCTTGTCTCTACCTTTCTTAGCTTAGCTGTGGTTGTTATTACTACCAACACTCCAGTGCTGACTGACTGACTGACCGGGACTTGCTTTCCTGAGGCTACAAGGTGCGAGTGATGTGATGGATAACGATGCGACCGCCAGCCAAAAAAAAAAAACCAAGCAGGAAAGAAACCCCACGCCAATTCCAATTCAGGTCTAGCGTCACGGCCACCCGGAAGACCACGGGGAAACGCCGGAGAGGATACGTACTCCACACATCTCTACGGCACTGCGGTGCATTCTGTAGCATCTTTTTTTCCCCTTCCTTTTCTTCCTTTCTCAGCTTCCCATCGCCGAGCTTGGTCCCCGACCATCCACTCTCCACTGCTACCACTCAACCCCGGAACGAGAGACGCAGTCGACTCTGCCGCACCCGTTAGACGCCCTCGGGTGGATGGACGGACGGTCTCATCATGGCACATGCTTATCTATCCTACGATTACCTTGCTGTAACCCATCTGTAGTAGTGTATATGATAGATGATGTACGGAGTATCCCGCATCAATACCTACATCCCTCGACCCGAGGTTACGGTAAAGCCTGCTGAACTGTACTCCTTCTCAATTACCACCACTGTATGTATACTCCCTATTGGAAGCCAGCCAACGGACGCAATGGGTGGACGGGATCTACCCACAATGGCCTCACTCTCGGTTCTGCAACCCTGGGATCCCCTACCATCCGTCGGAGAACATGTTACACTGTCCATCAGAACCGCCTTGCTTCATGTGACATCTTTCCAGACAGCCTTACTCGACATATGCATGTCTTCCCTGGCCCTACCCATGAAGCATACCGAGGTGGTACTCCCTATGTATACTACCTACGCATACTCAGCGCAGTTCGGGAAGCCAGAACACGCCATCTCACTGGTGCGCATATTTGCTTCCATTTCTGCGTCGGCGAAAAGGTGCTTCGAAACTCTCAAGACACCGCAACCGGCGCCGACTCATGACCTCATGACCCCCCAGTCTTGTTGTACTCCGTACGGCCCGCGCCTCGTAGCCGGCTTCCACCCGGCTCCGACTGGCACCTCCCGGTCTATGACATCTGGTGATAACATGGTTCGAACTGCCGTAACCTATGATAATAGGTCATGTAAAAAAAGCCTATGCCTTTGAAACTCCGCTTTAACACTTGAGATAGACAGTTAGTATGGTTCAACGTAAGACTTTCTTTGGGCTGAAAGGAAGGTCTTTTCAATTGTGCCACGTTGTACAGTATCACACGACGGAATTCAAATGCAAGCAGACTGGCAAAATAACGATAGCCTGATGAGATTCTCTCATTGTGTTTGTGTCTGTATACATAGGTTCGAGTCTGAACAAGACTTAGTCAGCATTCAAGGGTTATTCTTACACGCAGGACTGAATGCTTTCCATAGGTAAGCTTCGATAAATAGGTCATGCTTTTCAAATGACATGAGAATTTTCGAGTGTGAGTTTAGCGGCATTCAGGTCACTGAGTAGGATAGTAATCTACAATAATCGCATTGGGAGATGAGATACAGCTAACATCCAGTCCCTCCATCTCATCATCAGAGTGAGATATGTTCTCATCACGCCGAGTGACTCTTCGATGACAGGCAGCGGGGGTTGCCGGCCGACCACAGCGCTGACCCCACCCTAACTTTGACAGTCGCGGGGAGCTGTGGCGCTTGCTTCCAGGAACATCAGCTAAAGAAAGACCCCGCCACTTTTGTCAATTTCATCATCATCATTCTCAAATCTGAATTGCTGCGAAAGCTTCACAACTACACCCTTTCCCTTGCCCTAACAACTTCCACCACGATCCGAAAAGCCAATTCTGTCTCGACATAGATACACCTAGAAAGAGACGTCAAACTCCCAACATGTCTCTGGCGCAGCTCTCCCGCCTGCTGCCCCTCCCTGAGGACGAGCTAAAGCAGATGCTCGACTACGCAAACACGCTGTCGAAATCCGAAGCCGCAAACCACTTCAACGACTTACTGGGCGACTCGCCACAGGCCGTCGAGTTCATTTCCTCCTTCAATTCACGACGACAAGAGAAAAAGACCCCAGCCCCAGCGCCGCAACCCAGTTCGACCAGCTCCGGTGCCCCGGAGCCTGCTCCAAAGACGTCACGGGGACCCAAGAAGAAGAAGGCAAACATACACACACCGGCCGCAAGACAAATCGAGGCTGCACCTCCCCCAGGAGCAAGCTACAACAAGAAGTCACAGGAGGACGAGTGGTATGGAGGGAAGAAGCCAGCTCCGGCGGCGGAGAGCAGCGGCAGCAACAGCATCAGCACCGCCTTCCCGCAACTTGGGGCCCCGTCGTCGGGTTCTAAGCAACCACCAAAGAGTGCTACCCCTCCCCCGCAGCAGCAAAGAACGGCCGGAGGCTACCTGATATCCGATGTCAAGGCGAAGCCCAAGTCGAACCCTGTATCACGATCCTCCACCCCCAAGCCTACGACGAAACCTACAAAGATATCGATTGCCGGAGGTACGCCAATGGCAGGTGCATCCACGGCCCTCAACGATTTAGACGCGGCTATTAGATCTTTGGAGCTGACGACGAACCCGACAATGGGTGACGATCCGAAAGCAAGGAGGTGCAACTGCGTTGCTACACGGCACCCGCTGCAGACGGCGGCGCCCAACTGCCAGTCGTGTGGCAAGGTCATTTGCGTCAAGGAGGGCCTGGGGCCATGCACATTCTGCGGCACGCCTCTGCTGTCGTCGGAGGACGTACAGGGCATGATCAGGGAGCTCAAGGCCGAGCGAGGAAAGGAGCGCATGGCTGCGGACAGAGATGCTCATAAGCGGGCCGAGGTCAGCAAGAAGCCGGCGCCTTTTAGCCAGAACAAGATGTCCGAGGCGGAGGCCAAGGCCAAGGAGCACCGGGACAAGCTATTGAACTTTCAGGCGCAGAACGCGCGGCGAACGACGGTCAGAGACGAGGCGGCAGACTTTGATGTCAGCGGAGCCATGGCCGGCAGCGGAGGCAACATCTGGTCGACGCCCGAGGAGCGGGCCAGGGAGCTCAAGAGGCAGCAGAAGATCCTCCGCGAGATTGAGTGGAACGCGAAGCCCGAGTACGAGAAGCGGCGGCAGGTGGTCAGCATTGACGTGGTAGGTGGCAAGGTAGTCAGGAAGATGGCGGCTGTGGAGCGGCCGACGACGCCGGACCAAGAGGATATTGTTATGGACGAAGTTGAAGACGAGAACTACAGCCTCACCAGTCAACGGCAGGGTGGACAGGGTGGTGTTGGCGGCGGCGGAGCCTTTAGTCAGAACCCTTTGCTGGGAGGACTGATCAAACCGGTGTGGGATGCCAAGGGAAAGGGAGCGCAGCTGGAGGGCCGCAAGGACAGAAAGACGCAGTGGAGGAGGGTACAGGATGACTTTGGCGACAACGAAGCGGTGATCTTGGATGGCGGGGCGCATGGATACTCGGCGACGGGTGACGAGCCAGCGTGTGGTTGAGTTCACGGTTCAATGACTTGTCGTGGATTGGAGTGGAGAGTACGGGAGTATTAGAGGACCCTCAACAAGTGGTCAACTGGATGATTGGGTCAGAGTCTCTTACAGATGAGACATGAAGACATGAGTAAGCATTCCTCGGGGAGTTGATGGATCTGGACAAAGCATTGTGTAGCGGTGACGGAGATACGCTCGAGTGTTTGCACGTAAGGCATGATTGGGGGCATCTTATATGAGACTTAGACTACGGATACCTACCTTGCTAAATCTACCTTATTCAGAGATGGAGATGCTCGGTTCACATTTGGGCTTGGGCAGCAATGCTTCAGCTTCAGGGGTATCCGTTCAGTAATCCAATCACAGACAAAGAAGAGGCCTGGAACAGCAGGTCGGTCTTTGATGAAGAGCAAACATTGTATACGGATAGAGGATGAGTGCAGATGTTCAGGGAAGTGTGGTGGTGAGGTACCGGGATGGGGAGGGACGGGAGGCGGTGGTGGTGCGGTGATCATGGTGGAAGATACTTTGGTACAACGTCATGTGACTTCGTGTCTTTGACCTGCTGAGTCAGGCCGAGCGGGAAGCTGGGCGTGTCGCAGTTGCTCGATTTTTGCCGCCACCACTGTCCACGTCGCCTCGGTCGGGGTGTTTCTTTTGATCTGGCAGGCGCGGGCATCGACTCGCCCCGTGTACCTGCCTACCTTACCTTCCGTTACTGACTGGCCAAATTCTGACATGAGTTTCCATTGCATCACACTTTTATTTTTCTCGTCTTCATCATCTTTAATTTTCTATTCTCTCTGTAGACTCTATTTGCATCCTCTTGCGTGACCACCGAACTGGGGTCCCCGTCTGTTTAGCGAAACGAACCCCAAGAGCGTTAGGTCAGGACGACTGGGAGGGGAGGATTCGCCATTGTTACAGTGGAGAAGCCGCTGCAAGACACAGCCGAGAGACACTGGAGTTTCTCCCCCAAGGGCCAGAACAACGAGAACAAGAGTCAACAATCCACGGAAACACACACGCCCACGCCCACACACACACACACACACATCAGACGAGACACACCTGGGCAGAAAAAAAAACATACGGGGACTTTCATTGTGAAAGAGAACAACCGACGGGAAGGTTAGCCAGGTGGGCGAAAATAACGCGACGCAGACCGCGTAAACCGCCCTTTTCCTCCTCCACCCCAGTCATCGCTCCTCCAGGCTCCCCGTTCCGTCTTCCATCCCCCCGCCCGTCCATCAATTGCCCCCAGCTAATTACCTATCGTCTAACTACCGTCTTACTCTTAGGTGCCCGCAACCGTTAGCAAATGCCTCGACAGCGGACAGCACCGCCTGTGTGACCTGCCTAGTGTTGTCCGCGTACCTCACCTATCTATGCAACTGGACCACAGCCCACCACCACCACCACCACCACCACACTCAACTGCACCGCACTGTTCCTCCACCACACCGCACACCCGATCCTCGTCGCAACCCTCACCCGTCACCTCGGTCACTCCTACACCTCCGACCACCAAATCTCTCTCTCCTCTCCCCTCGCCGGCCCCGTTACCGTATATCGTCCTGATCAGTGTTTGAATACACTCTCCAACATAGTCGGTCCCTGCGTCCGTCCGCCGCTCGAACCCTCCGTCATCACACTTCAGTCCGGCGCATCACCAATTTGTCCGCCCATGGACTCTGCCTCCATCCCGCCCCGGCTGGGCCATATACACGAATCCGACCGACAACACCTCAAAATACACTCGCCCGCGGCCCTGCAAGACACGGGATTGCTCCCGAATAAAGCCGCTCGTCGTGCTCTGCAGCCTTTGGCCCGACCACAGCCCGTCGCCTCCCCCGACGCGCTCCCCAACGACAAAGTCACATCTTCCTTGGGCGACGCGACTGCGAATAACCACCACAATCTCCATAGCCACGCCCACGCTCACCTTCACCCACAAGGCCAACAACCCCAGCCCAGCTACCAGCAGCCTTCACAACCCTTTTCAGCGTCAAATCACCTTCCTCGCATAGCCGATCACCATCCTCCCAAAACCGCCTCAATCGCTGCATCCTCCGCACCTTCTCGGGTTAATCCATCCGCCCACCAGCGACCGCTCCCCTCCTCTGACTCGCAGACCTCGAGCCTGTCCGCCGAACCCGCCAACATCTTCACGCCGCCCGCCAGTCAGGGTGACATGCCGGGAGGAAGCCTCAACGGCCACGATTCTAGCCAAGAGTCACAATTACTTCAATTATCACATATTGCCGCCGCCCAGGACAAGCTGGCCGAGGACAATGTAATGGCAACGGCCCGGAAGCGAATGGCCGACGGTGCTCTCAAGGAAAACACCTCTCCAGTTCGGATGGGCCACTCGAGGAACACGAGCACCGTCAGCATAGCCTCTACTACAGCCAGCAGTATCGGTGATGTAAGTCGGCACGCGACACTAAAACAAAGATAGCATGGCTGACCCAGAATGTATAGTGGACCAGCGACCTCAAGACGCGCCTCTCGTACGCAATGCTCAAGGTCAATCACGGCTGGCAATCACACTCCATTGATGAAGTCGAATCCATGGCCTCCCAGGCCGCCTCGCCCACCTCAAGCCATTCCACCTTGCACGGCCGCCAAGAGCTGTCTGCAAGTCCTCGCGCCAATATGGCTCGTTATCAACCCGTGAGCGCCGCCACCACCGCAAGCTCTGGTCCCAGCCCTGCAACCTACGAGTCCTTCTGGAAGGAGGGCCAAAGATCCACGCATACCTCTGCCTCACCTCCCGCACCTGTCCAGCATCAAAACGTTCCTACACTTGCACCGCCTGCTCCGATTCAGCCGTCAAGGCCAATCGGGGGCCATAACCCGCGCCGAAATTCAAACCCTCGCTACACTCCGACTCTTCTCTCCCACTCACACAGCGCGTCACCGCATACCCCTTCTCAACCGAACAACAACGCGACGCCAAATCAGAGGTTAGGCCGGACTCCACTCATCGACCCGATTCTCTTCTCACCTCATCAAAACGTTAGAGAGCAGGATGCCATCGAATCACTACTCTTCATGAGCAGCCCCGGAAACTCGGCCAATATGAAGCACAACTACTCGTCGTCGGCAGCCTCGAACTTGCCTGGTCGCCATGCTCTGCCAAGCTCACAACCCCGGAAAAGTCTGCCCTCGCAACGGCCCCTGCCGCAAAAGCGTGTGGGTTTTGAAAAGAGCCCTGGAGGTATGACGGCAGTGAGCGATATGGACATTGACATGGACTCACCTCAATCACGAGGGCCGATGAGGAGGCGAATCAACGGAAGTGCCAGCTTCTCCGGAGGAGCCATTGGCAGCACTCTTCGTCCTCAACTGTCATTACCAGCGGCCCTCGGCAGCACCTCACGACCGCGGCCTCGCTTAGCGGACGCAGACATTGAGCGGATGATTGATCAAGCAGCGCAAGCGGGCGACAGCTCTGACGACGATGACGGCGAAATTCAGATTCCAGGGAGAAATCGGTCAGAAGGGGCCGTAGGAGTATGAGTGCCGTGTTTTGTCCTGTTTTTTTCGGGTTTCTTCGCATGGATGATCACCCGGGGGATCTGCATTGCTTTTATTTGGATTGCATATACACACGTGTTTTGGCGCCGGAAGAACCGAGGTTGCAAGGTTCCCGGGCGAAACGCGACGATGATGACGACTTTCTTTTTCGCTTTCTTTGGGACACATATATACACCTGCTCATTGGATACTGTTCGCCCGAGGTCGGGTTCTCAGTATTACACGGGCATTTAGTTGACTGTTTTTGCCCGTCTTCTATACCAGGGAGGGGGCTTCATTCGGGGAGCATAAGGGGGCCTTGCACCTCTGACGGAGTTTTGAATCTTGGAGTTTCTCTTTTCAGGATGTTATATGCATTGCATGGCCAAGGCCGCGAGTAGCATCACACACGCATAGGATGGTGACCCTTTGGTCACCGTGCAAAATGAAAGCAAATTATTGGTTTGTACAAGTCTGAAATTCACACGCGTCGTGAGACGCTTAAAGGTATCTGAGTAGGCCAGCAAGGCCGTCGATATCGGTTTCCCTGAATATTCCCGTGTCAAAACGTCCACCTCTTACTTCTCTCTAATGCAGTAGCCGTGCAGGTATATAGTAGACAGTAACATCATTACGAGTAAAGCCACCCCGAAAAACGCCAGTCGTATCCAAATAGTCATCAATCCATCCGAGTCTCTCTACCAGCCTCCGTGGTGGCCATGATGTCCGTGGTGACCGTGGTGACCACCCCCGTGATGAGGAGGCCCGCCGTGGTGCCCATGCTTCTCACGTCCCATCAACGAACCGACCAGACCGCCGAAGCCACCGGAAGAGTGGTGGCTTCCGCCGTGGTGCGGGGGACCATGGTGCGGCGGACCGTAGTGGTGGCCTCCGTAGGGTGGCGGGGGAGGTCCGCCGTGATGGTGGTGGTGATGACCTCCGTAGTGATGGGGAGGCGGGGGCGGAGGGGGCGGCGGGTGGTGGTGTCCGTGATGCCCGTGGTGTCCGTGACTGTGGCTGCTGGAGTGATGACTCCCACTCAACCTGTGCTCCAGCTTATTCGCGACCACCGCGCCGCCCAGAGCACCCGCCACCGCGCCGAGTTTCCCGCCGAGGAACTTCTTTCCCGCGTACCCTCCTGCCGCGCCGCCGCCGATGGTGGAGACGAGGCCGCGTTCGCCCTCTTGGCCTGTGCCGAGTTGGGCGTCGTAGCCTGGTGGACCGGAGGATCGGGAGCGGTGGTGGGAGGAGGAGCCCGGGAGGCCGAGGGAGGAGAAGGAGGAGTGAGGGCGTTCTGAGTTTGCGGAGCGGGGGCGGTAGCCTGCGCTGTCTATGAGGGGGCCCGTGGAGAGGTGGCGGGAGGAGGAGCCGCCTCCTGGGGTGTGGGTGTTTTGGCGGGTGCCGCCGTAGTAGTCTTGTGCTGACATTTGTGGGTGCTGCTTAGTTGTGTTTGGTGATGATGTTGTGGTGTGTGTAAGTGGTTTTGTATTCGCTTCTCGAGGTTTGAGTATAAGTGGCGAGTTTGTTGATGAACAAGATATTTCCAAAAAATAAATGGGAAGGGAGACTGGGGGATACCGGCCTTAAGTAAATCGGTCGTCTGAACAGGTTCACAGGGGAACCAGTCCAAGCTGGGGGGTGAGTGATCAAGGCATGACTGTGACTTTGAGAGAAACCTAAGCTTCGCGACGAGGATGGATCCCGGGAGCGGCGCAAGGTCGCGCTGGGGCGGAGTTTTCGGGCTTGGGGTGGGTGGTGGTAGGGAATTGCGTAAGGCGGCGGCCCCTCTTTTTGGTGTCACTTCACATTCACAGAGGGACACACTACACACTCGCTCCCGCGTCCATCCCTTCACGGACACTCCACATGGTCGCCGGGGCTCAGCGCCCAACGGGTTGATATTACACGTAATTCACGATGGGCAGGTCATTCTTCTCCGCGGGGGATGGTTCGACACGCGTTTGATGTGTTCGTGCCTTGGCCGTATCGTCTGGCGGCGCTAGTGGGCGAGACAGATGGTCATTATGCCGAGTCTTTGGATGCCGTCACGGGATCCTCATGGAATGTACTTCTGCACCACGTTCTGCAGAGATGTATCTCTGTATGGAGTATGAGGGATGGGGTATATCTATGTGGGACGGAGCGTCTGATGTGAGAGAAGAATGTATGCTCGTCATTGTTTGCCCTGACATTATGCCTGGTGCCTCGACCTTACTCTCAGTTTGTTTGTTCGGATATACAGGTACAGACGGGAGGAGACGCAAGGTAGCGTTCCATCTGCAAACACACCTTAATTTTTGCTTATTCGCGGATTGTGGATTACCGGACCTGCAGACGGCAGATTGCGAACGCACGGCAGATTCCCACAAGGCGCATGCTAAGAATATCGAATCGGTGCTGGGCGAAGTCGGCGGGGGAGATGCGAGATTGCCGGCTGGGGTGCGACAGGGCGCGAGGCAGCGTCAATAGTCGATAGGGCAGACTTTTGGCGAGGACTGAGAGTGGATATGAGTACTGAAAATAAGGACTGAGGACTGAGTATGAGCCTGAGAGTGAGAGTGAGGATGAAAGTAAGAGTGAAGAGTAGAGGTGAGTGAGTTCGGGGGAGGCGGTGCGCTAGGCCCCACCAGGCGGTTCCACTTTCTCTTTCGGGATGGACCATGTCACCCTCCGTCCCGTGCTTCGGGTCTTCGGCGTTAGGGGTCCCAGTCGGCGAGTCCGGAGAGCCACCGCGGTTGCGTCCTCACCTTTACTATCGTCAACCACCGCCTCTCTCTCTCTCTCTACACTCTATAGAATACATCTCACAACAGTCGTCTTCATCAACAACGTCATTCTGAAGCTCCGTGAGGCTTCAAGTACCTCCGCAATCGGTCTCGTCATCTTCTACGGTTCACCTCCGCTGCACCCTCGGCTACACTCGCATCTTGACTTGAGATTATCCCCAGGCACAAAACTTACGTGGGAATAACCTTCATCCCAGCTCAGCCTCACAGACACCTCAGACCGCGCCCACTGCCTCGCAGACGCAAACCAGCCCCGGGTCACTTTGGTTTTGAAAACCTTCAGATCACATCATGTTTTGAATGCAATACCTTATTATTTCCGGTCCTCGCGCTTCTTCACGGCTTTAACAACTTCACACTATAAGTCTCTGTAGACTGGCCGTACTCTACCCAGCAGCCAAGACGGCAGACACGGCTCCACGGCAGCAAGGTTCGCCTGTTCGTCGCCGACTCATGAGAAGCATGAGCCCAGTAACATCCTAATCTGCCCAGATTGAGGCCCACCCCGCTATCTTCTAGAACATGTCGAAACATTTTCTAGGTTCTTGAAAAGATGCCCGAGCCTCACTCGCGGCGCGCTGGAGCTTGGAGCAGGGATGGGACTCTAAAGTCGGAACCCGCGCCACAGTCCACATCGGCATCTCGGAGACTTCGCCCACATTCCCGAACGCGAGACGGCGAGAGCCCACTGCCGTGGCGGAACCACGACCGCTCCGCCGCATGTTCGCTTCCGCCAAGCCACTATTCCCGTGTCACCCGGCCCGACGTGGTGGACTTGGAACCTCACTACGCCTCACGTGAACATCCCGCCGGCCGGGCCTCAATTCAAGGTACTGCAGTTTTTGTTGCAACATTATCGTCTCATTGCATCGACCAATATGCTATAGACCTACACGGACTCTAGGACACGACCAGGCTTTCCTCCAACGCCAGGTTTCTGCTCGACGCTCCAACCTTGACGGTAAACGTACCCGCCGGCACAACCCAGTTCTGGCTTGCGACATCCCAATAGCTCAGATCTTTCCTTCTAAGGTTGAACGTCGCTACTGCTGATTCGCCCTCGCCGAGTCTCAACTTCTCGAATCCGCGGAGCTGCTTCGGCGGAGACAGGGGTGCGCCGGCCGGGAGGGTAAGGTACAGCTGCGCGATCTCGGCGCCGGCGATGGATCCCGTGTTCTTGATGGTCGCCGTCACGGTGGCAACGACCTCGAAGAGATCGGCGCGGCCACCGGGGACCACCTGGCCGACGGCCGGGCCGGAAGTAGCTGTGGATGTGACGCTGATGTCCGAGTAGGTAAAGTTGGTGTATGCTGCATGTTTCATTAGCATGGTTTTCAAGTGAAGCATCGACCCTCCCCTAGAGCACAAAAGACCTACACAATCCGTAACCAAACTCGTACCGCGGCTCAATGCCAGCCCGGTCAAAGTGGCGATAGTCGATAAAGATGCCCTCGGCAAAGTTATCCTCGAGCGTCTTGGACACCGCAGTGCCGTAGTCGGCGACACTCTTGCCAATCGTATACGGCAGCTTTCCGTTGGGGTTCGTCGCGCCCCAGAGGATGTCAACCAGCGCATTGCCAGTCTCCTGCGACCCGAGCCCAGCCCATACAATGGCCTTGACGCCGGGCTGCGCGAGGATCGTCTCGAGAATGATGGGCCCGACACTGTGCACCACGACCACGACATTATCGTTGACCGCCGCCGCGGCCTTGACGAGCTCGTTGCCGTTGTGCCACGGGTCCAGCGTGTTGCGGTCGCCAATGTTGCCGTCGACGGTGATGTAGCCCTCGCCCGAGTCCGACGTGATGAAGACAAACGCCGCGTCGGCGCCGGCGGCCGCCGTGGCGCCCTGCTGCGCGTCGTCGGTGCTGCTGGCGGACACCTCTGTGCCGTCCTGCTGCGCGCGCTCCCGGATCGCGTCGAGGGGGGCGACGAGGTAGGGGTAGTCCACCGTTCCGGAGCCCCATCCCATGCCGAGGGTGCCGTTGTTGCAGCTGCGGTCGTAGCAGGCGTTGATGCCGGCCGGGTTATTCACGGTCGAGGACCCGATGACGGCGATCTTCTTGGGCGCCTTGAGCGGGAGGATGGCGCCGTCGTTCTTGAGCAGCACGATGCCGTCCCGCGCCGTGGCGCGCACGTTGTCCTTGTGCGTGCCCTGGACGTTGGCCGCGAGGTTGACGGGCGGGTACTCGCCCTGGTCCTGGCCGAGGAGGTACC